ATTAGGTAATTCCTGAGTGTTAATGAAGGGGTCCATGCCGTAATGAATACTAATATGTCTTGATAATTACTGAAACTACAAGTGAAGATGATGAAGTCCAATCGTTATACATTGTTACTGCAAGCATTTATATTATTAATTTCCACCTAGTATCCCCATCAACTACGAACCAGAACCAGAGTGTAGTGATTTCAACGGATTTCAAATACGAAATATATAAAATGTTTGTCACATTTGTCCCAATCGAAAAGATCTTCGGAAAAATAAATGGAAACGATTCAAAACTAAAACTATAATAATTTACCAGAAAAAACAACTTTAGATACTTTACAGCATTGCAGTATCGGAATATTCACCACTATTTATACACTACAGATAATTTTCGTTATGCCGGTGACTGGGCAAGTGCTGAAAGATCATTTTGAGGTCTACAATAGGTCAGGAAAGGCTAGTCGGATCACCTTCATTGAATATTCCTATAGATCTTGAAAAAGATATAGATGCTGATATTGATGAATTTTCTAAGCAATCTGAAAAAATTGCTTTATCATCTATTCACTAAGGCTCGTAAAATTTCGTTGATAAGATTAAATTTTGAATAGTATCGATACAGAAACTGCTCTAACAGAAGTTTATTCATTTATTTATTCATTTGTTAATTTATTCGCCATTTTAGGTTGCTAACAGAACCAGTTCCAGAAAACAGCATCCACTATGTAAGAATCAGTCTATAGTTACTTCTACAATTATACATAAACAGTTCTTATCGGTATAAAATTATCAGGCAGTAATACGAATGTGATTTAAAAATATAGTATGAAAATGATTTTTCATCATAATATAGTGAAAATTATGGGAAATGATAGATCATAAGAGAAGGAGTACATCAGGAGAAGAAGAACCATTTTCAACTATTGATCTGAGTTGAGGAATATACTTTTCAAAAAAATTTGGAAACGAGGCAGAGATGTCGAGAAATTGTAGAGAGATTGGGATCGTTACAGTGTGTCTTGAATGCTTTTTGCATATACGAACTAATGGCGAGTTATGTCCTAGAATGGTTCTACAATAAGGGATATTGAATGGGGTGTAATATCGAAGATTGTTTCTACTGGGGACATTGAAATTTACTTTTACAAGTAAGTATGGGCAGTCGATTCCATGTCTGTCTTGAAAGGCTAGGAATCTTGAATAATTTCTATCTTTTTTGAGTGCACGGCATATTATGAGGATTCCAAATAGCTGACGCGGAAGAAAGCTTGCTGTTAACGAATGCATAATATTGCGAAATGATTGTCTCAGAATTATGAAGATATTTTCCGTTTCTTTCCATGAACCCAACCATCCCGTTTGACATGTTGATCAATTTGTCTATATGACTGTTGAAAGTCCATTTTGTGTCCAGTGTGACGCCTAGATCTTTGATTTCGCTGATATATCAAAAGTTGTTATTGTTAATCTTGTGATATTTTTATTTCTTGAATATGTTATGGCAAAACATTTGGTTGGGTTCAAGAAGACACTATTATTGTCGTAATAATCAGCAAGCCTGTTAAGGTCACTATGAATTTTCGAGTTGAAGCTAATAAATCACAATTTTCTTTTGATTTATTATACACCGGAAGGCGCTGTCGTCCTAGGCAACCCCCAAATTATAACCCAATTATCGCTACTGAGTACTCCTTCTAGGAAAAAAAACTACCTGTGCGCTTGAGTTCTGTAGAAAAACATGGTGGCTTTTTATGCATGGTGCCCCGAAATCACATAGAATCAGAAGAAAGTTCATCATATGAACATGGGTTCAGAAATAACCAATATGGCCAGAGCCAAAGATGAAGGTTTCTTGTAAATATTTTCAAAACCCTATATGATGAAATTCCAAAATTCTGTACATGTACCTAACTTTTTATTCCGTATTCGAAAAATATTTGAAAATTCTCGAAATTCTTATCATGGGCGTGAGAAATATGTGCATGGGCCTAGGGACACTTCTCCTCCCAAATTCTTTGTTTATGCAATATTTGACAGTTTGACCACGAAATGTAATAATATCATCCTTTCAACTTGAATATGGTGCCCCTCTTATGCTTCGATAGCACTCACCATTGTCAAGATGAAGCGATTTCAGAAGTCTGCTGCGTAATTATGAATGAGAAGTAAAAAAACCTTTTTTCTGCAACTGACACAAAAGCCGTCCATTTTGATACCAAAATCAGCTCTTAAATTGACGTTTCTATTACTAACATATTTAGTTCCTAGGAGCTAAAGTTGTTTTTTAGTTCCTAGGAGCTAAAGTTCAACTTTAGCTCCTAGGAACTATAAAGGATTTACTGGACGTCATCAAGAATAAACAACATTGTTACGGTTGGTTATTTGGGTTGAGACGCATACCTGATTTGTTTCCGATTTCGACATATTTGGCATTTCATACCCATGCTGGAGATATAAATACACCTTATTATAGTTTAGAATTGGAATTATAAACATCTCAGTTAAGTATTTTTGTTTTGATCAGGGAAGCCTGCAAGATTCAAATACTTGCTTGATCTGTATTTCATTCGTTATTCTCGGGATGGATAACCTGTTATTGAATAATCACGGCAAGCAATAGTTTTTAGTTAGTAAGTATGGAGAGAAATAAATAATCGCTATTATTGTAGTTGTTCCTATACCTGGCACTGGCGCGGTATTTGCAGAGCACCTGGTCCATACACAAATATGTCACTCTGTGGTTGTATTTATATTGAAACTACTATTCGAACATCCCTGAAAATTGAATAAACCTGCTGTTAATGCAGGTAGAATATTCTCACCACACGGATTATTTGTCAATATTTGTTGCATTGCGTACATATGGCACGGCATTGGTGGTTACTTCATATATTTATTTGAGTTAATTGTTTCGGTTGCAGAAATAATAGCATGTTTCATTTGGATCAAAAGTGACTTTGTTCGACTCGCAAATTTTGCTTTCGCTCGGCTTCGCTAAACGCTCCGCCTCGCAAATGCAAAATTCGCTTGTCAAACAAAGTGACACTTTTGATCCTAATAAAACAATCTACTATTATTCAGATGCTCTAGAAAGGAAAAAATGGAATTTTCTTCTAACTCTCTTCTTCTAACTATCAACTTACAACCTCATGAAATACAATTTATATGGTCAGAAAGCTTGTTGCGATTATCAATGTTCAATAGAATTAAATTCAAAAAATGTAAACTCAGCAGATTTTACATAATTGGATTAGTACTAGTTCATTTACACAAGTAAATGGCGTGACAAGCTTTTATGAAAATAAAATCTACCATCTTGAGCCCTACTTCATGCATTTCTGCATTTCTTACATCCACTTTTCAGTCATCTTGTTCCTAGGATCTGTGATTGATATCGTTCCATGTAATTTCGGGACACCCTGTATATTATTCTTACTATTCGTTTCTGAATGACTTCGATTTTCTTAACCCCAAGCTTTCCGAGTCGAAGATTTATTCTAGATACACATTGAAATTGTTCCGTCCGATATAAAACCCGGATATATACCTTGTCGATAAAATTTATCGCGGTGATTTGTTTAACGGCGAAAAAAAAGCCAAGCATTTCCTTAAGCACTATTGACAATGCGATAAATTCGGTCGGCATCCAATAAAATCAAATGCACGTACGATTGCGGTCGTACATTACCATTAAATCCCAATTATCTGATGTTTACCGTCTGTTTTTCCACCGGAAAATACACTCCTCTTGTCTGCGATGAGGGGGCGGAATACTATGGCGATTTTATAACGTTGGCATCGCTCGCAGAACATTCAATGAGGAAAATTTTATGACGCCAATCCATGAGAACGTCTACGTTGACTTAACGTTTATTGAACGTTCATTCAACGTTAAATTGGTGAAATATACATCACTCGTTAAATTTTCAACATTACCAATCTGGTTATAACAACATGGTAACATGAGGAACACTAAGATCACAATGATTTTATTGAAATGAATTTGTGTTTTTTTTTATTCTTCATGAAAATTCGTTGATCCTAAAAGTTGTGAAAGAGTATCAGCTGAAAGTTAGAGACTGGCCAATGATGACAGATTTTTTAACGTTTTTTATTTTATTTTTTTTTATGTTCTGGTTCCCACGAAATGGGATATCCTGTAATGTTCAGAGAACAGTGAGAACCAAGAGAAATAAGGTAGGAATAGGTGTTTTTCTCAAATTTCTAGAGGGTAATATGCCTCGGGGACACCTCCGTTGGCAATGTGTTCCAGAGTCTCGCTGTTCGTTCGATGAACGAGTCTTTGGAAGTGATGTTCTGCAGTTCTTCAAAGTGACCACGAAGGGGTGCGAAGCCTCAACTCTACGGGTTAATCTCGCGGGGACTGCCAAGGGAGGAACAATTGTTAATATTTCAGTAGAGCATCGTCCATGAAAATATCTATAAAATAGAGCCAGATCGCCAACTTTTCTACGGTGTTCCAGAGAAGTGAGTGAGTTTGTGAGCGAGGCATCACCCACGAGACGAATTGTTTTTTTTTTGACAGAATCCAACAGTTTCAGGGTATGTTTGGGTGCTGCATTCCAAATATGGCAACAGTATTCCAGGACAGGTCGGATCTGTGCTTTAGAGATCATAAGCAGCTGACTGGAAGTGATAGAGTTCCTGTCCCGAACCAAAAAACCAAGTTTTTGAGATGCACTTTTAGCAAAGGATCGATCGCGATCGAATGCTATTACAGCATCCCTGACCTATACATTGTCAATCAAGCAGTATACAAGTTGAATTGGAATGGAGATCAGATCTGAGCCAATAAAAAACAACATTGATGATGCACCACATGTTTCATTATTATCCGATGATTCGAGAGATATTGCAATACAAATTCTGAGAATTATGATTATGATGATGATTATAAATCAATAACCAACCATAATTTGGAACCAATACCCTGATGAATTTGATATCTGGCAATCAGTATTATTCAATCTACAATACAATTTACTCACCTGCAGTTTTCTGTTCAGTCTGTTCTATGGAAGTTACCACTGTATCAGTCAAGAATATCACCAAAACAAATAATGTCACACAGTTTAAGGATAGCACCATCACTGCCATCATCAACAGTTCTTTCAACACTACAATAATGGTTAAAGATGTTGAGAGGCTAGTTGGTGTGATAAACATTATCTTTAGTGAGAATCATTGTTTTGGTATCTCGACGAAGCTGCATGATGATTCAATAGCGACACAATCCTGTTGTTCTCTATGTTCTCGAAGCCGAAGGGTTATTTGTAGATATCTGAAACAAAAAGAATGATTTAATGAAAGTATCATAGCGTCAAAACCTGCGCTAACTTTAAACAGCGCTTTTGAAAGCAGTAGGCATTTTTCGAGGCGTTATCAATGGCTTGCTGCTTCATAAGTCAATATCATATCAAAATATAGGTCCATATCGCGTTATTATTGAATACTGATGGGCACTATAGTGACGCAAGCATCAACAAAACAGGAAAAGCCGCCCGTATTTTCGTGTTCAAATCAATGTTTTTCGATATCAAATGTTGTGTCTTTCTATATTTTGACCGTCGATATCAATTGTTGTGTCTCTTCATATTTCGACCTTCGATATCAAATGTTGTGTCTCTTTTTATGTTGACCTAGATCTACAGCTTCAATGTCCGAGGTGGGAAAAATTCGAATATGAAAGTTGTACGGTGTCATCTTCTGTTTTTATCTCTTATTACCTATTGACCTTTTTTTTTCGTGAATCACACGGCTGCACTACTGCGGTGATCTACATAGCTCCAGGAAAATCTTTTGGGGTTAATATTGACATGTTGGGGATTATAGAAACGTTTCCAAAACATTAAGATTGATTATATAACACAGTTTGGCACAAGAACTACAAACTACAACAAGCAATATTGTCGCAGGTTCTCCTAGCGTTATGACGAGGTTATATAACCTCAGTCTAAATGGTTTGCGTGCAAGAACTGTCAGATGACCGACTCTGGAAGTGGAACATTGAAACACAACCTCACTTTTCTTATTTGTCTACAAGTGAGTGAAAGAGTTTTTCACAATTATTTTGGCATACGAATCGTGTTTTTCGGCTATTCATTAAGTAAGTACCTACTATAATCACTCACATATATTTTTTATTTTGAAATTTGGTAGTTTCTCTGATATCTCATCGGAATTCCTTCTGGAATAGCTAGCTAATAGAAATAATCGTGAAATTTCTAAAATAATGCATGAAGATTGGATTCATGCAATCAAACGGGAGGATTGGTCTGACATGCTGACGAAATATGATCGTGTGTGTTGAAGACATGCATGCAGAAGTGACAGAAAGAATTTTAATAAGAAATGACAAAATTGCATAACGAATACTATGTGAGATCACTATTTACCTGAAGAAATCATATTCCTTCGTCTCTCGCTGCATTTTTTTGTGCAGCACAATGAGCAGGCATGCTTGAATTAATGCATAGCGCAAAAATCACGATTCGTATGCCAAAATATTGTGAAAAACTATTTCGATCTTTTGATTCCTATGTAAACAAATGAAAAAAGTGAGGTTGTGTTTCAATGTTTTACAGAAAAGTGAGGTTGTGTTTTCATATTCCACCTCCATCAGATTCGGTCATCGTGCACGCGACCTATTAGTTAATCTGATGTTGAACCTGAATATCTGAAACTAACGTGTAAGTAAAACGATATGCAACAATTCTTTCTCATCCGAAGTGTGTCATTATTTCCTCTTAGTCCTTGAATATCGTACACATGGCTGGAGTGTTTGCAATTTGCAATACACCAACATCAGTTGTATACATCGGATGTCGGCAGATCCACAAGGGTCACGAATTGGTTGAACAATATGACAATACGGAAAGTCGAGAGATCTCTCTGTGCTTTGACAAATAAACTTGGAAACAAGTTGAATGGCGCATTGTGCAGAGTTGTTCAGAGAGGAAGTTTGGATGTCAGTTAAACGTCGTTTTGAATGGAAATTCAATGTCCGTGTGTACCTACCTATTCCATTCCAATCGATAGAAATGGACATTGACTGATGGGATTCGAGATAAAGGCGGATGAAAAAAGTATATGGAAGGAAGTTATTTCCGATGCTAAACTGAAGAGATCTTCAACTTTTGTATTTTTTACGACAGCTCAACACATCGGACATGATCCAAGCAGATATACAGGGTGTTTCGAAATTCGACCGACAACGCTTGACAGGTGATACCCCTCGTGATTTCATAATCACTGGGATAGGGACATAATGGTCTTCAAGTGTTCAGTTCTCGAGATACAGGGCGCTAAAGTCAAGAAATAAAAATAGTTGTTTCGCAATATCTCAAGAAAAATTGAATTCACTGCATTCAACTTTGGTATATGGTTTCATCTATAAATGGGTCATTTTTTGACCAGGAAGCCATTCCGGACATTTCATCTAGTGGTGCCTTACAGGGGGTTGTTGCAACTTTTTCTCCCATATTTTCTACGCCACTGATTAAATTTCAATTATCTCCAATTCCACGAATTCATTGTTCAATTTCGTAAAAAAAATTCATCACTTTCAACTGAGCTGAAATTAACAGTTTTCGAGATATTCGACCCAAAATAAAAGATTGCACAGTAATATGTCATCATTTTCAGTAGTAGAAAATTGCAAAAATATGTTTCTGGTGTTGAGTAGATCAGATACTATTCAAATATCATTCTGTAGCTGAACAGGAATAGTTATTCCACGTATAAAGAAACAACCATAATTTTTGTAATTTTTTTAGTACTTTTAGGAAAATGAAGAATGCTAACTTTTATTTTGGGTCAAATATCTGTATAACTGTTCATTTCAGCTCAGTTGAAGGTGATGCATTTTTTCAATATAATTGAACAATCCAAAAACGATCGAAACCCTCTACTACTACTGAGCTGTCAGAAAACCACACAACCTCGAGCTAAAATCTACTACCTTTGTTCCTTGTATAATAAATTACTGTAGTTAATAAAGTATATATATCACAAATATATCAATTATCTGACTGCAGAGTCATTCCCAGCATTCGCGATTCCTTACATTTATTCATGTTTGGATGTAGTTCGTTTTGTATTGCTGGCATGCACTTTTTTGTAATTTAGTAATATATCGCGCTGTCTATACAGGGTTTCCGTTTTTTGAGTTCCACCATCGGTATCTCAGTTATTATAGGAGATACGAGGTCGGTTGAATCAGGGCAAAGTTCTATGTGTCATTTTCAGTTTTCGAATTATGCTGTTTGAGTTGCAACCATTCTAAGTGCACCTGAAATGATAACCGAACATGCACCAACTTTCGGCACTATCTGTATTTTGGTTGCGCAATTTTTTAAAAGATTCCCATATGTTGCACACTAAAATTACTGTATACTGTATAGTAAGCTAGTCTGAAGTGACGTTCTACCTATACAGGCTGATTTTAAAATGAGTGCATATATTCAAGACATATATATGAGAGAGTCTAACAAAAATTACTAAGATATTTGATTTTTCCTAAGTCTTCACATTAACGAGAAATTTCATTTTGAAAATTGAACATAAAATGCTTCTAAATTCGAGTACGCCACTGGGAAGCAAGTTAAATCTGCGGAATCCCAGGGAATCCCCAATTCGTCATTCACTAACGTCAAAACAAGACAGTGATGCCAGATTGTTTCAGAGACGAATATCCTGATAAAAATTTGTCACAGAATGAATACGAATTGGAATAGGTTATGGAAACTAATAGAAGTGAATGTGATATGTACAGAAGCCTTATTTTTTAAAGTTTACTGAGAGAACTGTGGGGTGATTATCTCCATGGATCACGAGAGACGGAGAGAAACATGAGGGGAATGATAGAACGTCCCCCCTCCTTCAATTCGAAAATAAGGCCCCAGCGGGTAGATACAAAATTAGCAGACAATAAATAGGTACACAACATACACGAAGTTGAAAATCGACTCACCTAGTAGATTTTCTCATACCTGCTCGAACAGCAAAACTCCCGAGAGCAAACAAATACTAATATCGAGTCCATTCCAGACTAATATCGTCCTGTGTTCTTGTTGGTTTATATTCGTACTTAAACCATCGAAAACGACTCGACGAAGACATATCCTTCCTGGCAATCTAACATTGAAAATCACGATCACGACCATATCACGATTATCACGACACAAGACACAACATCCAATTATTTCATTTTTTATTTTACGTTTACAATTATTCTACAAACCAGCAACCACACAAACAAAACTATTATCATATGATCTGTCAACATTATTTCTCAAAACAGTATAGTATCTCTGTGACCATAGATTTCCTCTTTGCTGTGACCTTTGACAGAACTAACTAGGATTGTTCGCGTTCAGAAAATGAACAATCCGAAACCGTCAGAAGCATGCACAAGTCCACAGAACCCAAAAAAATCATACAGTTCTGTGGAACTGCGCATGCTTCTGACCGTTTCGGACGCAAAAATTCAGACGACCATGAATTACTGATAGGCGACTTTTACGGACCAATCAGAAACAGCAAAGTAGCGCCTGCGTGGTTGCGATTCATCCGGATTGGACACAGCTGATTGGATTTGTGAGATTAGTGTATAGTGAGGAAGTATCATTTCATTGAATTAAACTAATAGATGTTTTTTCCAAATCAGTTTTTTATGAAAATGGTAGTTTCATTTAAAGATATGATCCTTCCTCACTAATACATTAATCTCAATCACCTGTGCCCAATCAGGATGAATCGCAGCCACGCAGGCACTACTTTGCTGTTTCTGATTGGTCCGTAAAAGTCGCCTATTAGTAATTCATGATCATCTGAATTCTTGCTGGTAGCAAACCATAAGAACAATCAAAACAAAGATCCTTTCTTGACAGTTTGTTGTTCTGAGAATGTATGTTATTTTGGAAAACGTCAAAACGTGATACTAGTAAATGTAGAGTTTTGTTTCTGACAATTTGCTTGGAATGTGACGATGCATTTCTCAAACATTGAGCTGAATGATATGGTTCTTATGTCGGGTCGTTATTGTGCGAGGCTCATGAGACTCCTTGAAGGACACGAAATTGTAGCGATGCAAGGAGGTGGAAGGAAGGGTCTAAAGGATTTTTCAGTAAAAGAACTTCCAACCGTGAGGTGTTAAGTTATACGCT